TACTTATTTACTACTTAACAAGAATTTTAGCAAAATGTTGCTGATTTTGGTTAAATAAATCATTTATTTCAAAGAAATTTTTATTTATTATTTTTGTAAATTTCTGGAAACCGATTGAAACCTGTGATTGAAATGGTTTCGGTATCGTTCCTTTTCAGGTCAAGATAACGGTTACGGTTTCGGTTTCGGTTTTGAAAAACGAAACGGTTTTAAACGGTTACGGTTTCGGTTTCATTCCTTGCTATTTTTGCAATTTAATTTCGGTAAAATGTTTTTTTGCTTTTCTTCTGGTGACGCCTATATTCGACAACGAATATTTTTTTTTTTTAATAATAATTCGAGAGGGACGTACGGCATTTTTTTTTATTTTTTTTTTTTTGTTTTTAAGGTGGTCCAGCCTAGTATTTGTATGTATTTCAATGACTTCAGCGCGTTTTCTGTTATATTTTCTTTTCATTTTATTCTCTTAAAATTATTCAATTTATTTCCTTATTTTCTTAATGCTGTTGCACTTTGCATATATTTTTGAGGCTTTAATGTATGCAATAATTTGCTCTAAATTCCTTTAATTACTGGTATAAAAACACATATGTATGTATGCATGTATATCTGGTTCTTGGTATAAAAGAAGGTACAAAATTTATTTTTTTTTTTGGTTTTCTTTTTGCAATTATTATTTATAAAAAAAAAACTGGCATGCAAAATTTGCATGCATCTGGGAAATGGTTACAAATTTCTTGTATCATAATTAGTTGTGTTATTTGAAGAGGTGTATTGGTGGTGGAAAAATAGCGTGCTTCCCTTAATTTTATTCAATTAATTAAAAAAAAAAACATGCAACAAAATATGTACTTCACTTCAATGATCTTCGCCGAACACCAGATCGGAGTCCTAGATACAATCCCGACGACTAAAGGACCCCAGGATACGATTTGTGGGCACGACATAATTTTTTCCTTTAACCCTTTAAAGACCGAATTAAGTTGAGGGGAGCGATAACTTTTTGACGGCATATTATTGTTGGTTAATCCTTAAATATGGGCCGGTATAAAATTTGACCTTCTATGATTTTTGATTTGACCGTTGTAAAATTTTGCTCATAGATGATGTTTTCATTTCAGTTTTATTATTAAACTAGCAAATGCCTGGCTTGCTTCGCGACGCCTGATAAGAACTTTTGCATTGACCAATACAAAAATAGTGTTGAAGCGCAGAAACGGTGTGTAATGTAAAAATTATTCGTTTAGATTGAATGGACTGAAAAGCAGGACCTTCCTTACTGATAGGCCTTCGATGCTATGGACTCTTATTTTCTATGAGATATCTGCAAGTACGGCAAGGTTTTCCGAGACTCAGGATGAAAGAGTTTTCCCGTTTAAATGGGGTCATTGATATTTCTACCGTGTTCTTTCTAATTCGCCACATTTACTCTTAATATACCGATGACCTGTAAATGTGCCTAGAATATTCCAGGTGCTAAAACAATTTTGACCTTCTTTGTATGCATACTTAAATGGTGGCGCTTCATTAAGTCATCTAAAAAGTAAATTTGTAGAGGAGTATCTAAATATCTCGACGCCAGCGCCATCTGGCGACACCATTTTTTGCAAAAGTGCTATATTTTATGATGCAGAGCTTACGACGTCCGTCGGGGCAAACAAATAAAAAAATAAAACAGTAAGAAAGATTTTCAGTGGAAATGCGCTTTAATTTTTAAATTGACAAAGTGCCACGATTTCTTGCAAACTCGTATCCCTTTTCAGTTTACAACAGGACACCGCGTTTAGCTGTCTGTTCGTAAGTGGTCCAAGACTATGGTTCTCTGAATTTACTACATCTATTGGAGGTTACTATAAACGCCACGCTCTCTTGTTTAAACTCAAGGGGTTAACTAGTATATTTATGTAAGCATAACTACCATAACTACCCAGTAGGCAAAATTAGACAAATAAAGCCTTCTTGGCAGAGTTATTTCCAATCTTTTGAAGCGAGTGGTCTTCTATTCGCGTTTCTTGATTCCATTTATTTTTGTATCAAATAGCCAGAGTATCTGATTCAGCTTCCCTCAGAAAAGGCACGTTCACTTGAAATAAATAAGACACAGTTTATATTTTCCACCAGACCCTCATAGAAACGTTGACTGCAATTTTCGCTTTTATTTGACTTTGTTTGCTTATCAAATACAACTTCTCGCCCGAATTCGAATGGCAGCGCTATTGGCAGATCTTCTAATACACCTTGCAAAAGGAAGGTCTGCCAGCGTTTATTTAAAAGCGCTTCTCATTTTTCCGATTGGGTATATATGTAAGCCTCACAATTTGAAGCCAGCTTCAAAATCGTTCGAAAACGGTCCCCGTCATCGCAGGGTGTGAAGACAACTTTATAAAGAAAAGCGCTTTCCCCAAGCGATGGAAGCTTCACCAATTGGTGTTTCTATCGAATCCAAATGATCTATCTGCTTTTAGACGGCTTTGTATTAGAGCTTGTCTCTGCGGAAAAGGTCTTAGAATGCAATTTTATTGAACTGAATCAAAGCTTTGCAATTATCTGTAGGCCTGGCATCGAAGCAATTTGTTTTCCCGTGAAAATTGAAGCTACACATTTGGTCAAACCGATTTCAGTGAAAACAATATCTGGAGAACTCTGGAAAAGCGGTGCTGTGAGTATTGTAAGTACAATGCGCAGTACCCCCGAAGCTTCTATTTAAATACAGATTTTATTAATTTGTTAAACATTTTGTGATCCCATCCCAAACACATTCAAGACATCTACGAGAATTATGTTAAATACCAGAGAACCAAAAAAAAACATAGGTAAAGATTGCCGAGCACTCTGAGCTACGTAATATTTTATGCTTCCGAGGTGTGGGCAGATGTATTGCACGTGGGTTCGTATAGTCAGGGCAACAAATCAGTCTACAGACGAAGTGCTATTGCGATATAAGCCGAAGGTCCCACAGTTTCGGAAGCACTTATTGTGTTAGGTCAAGCGTACGATGGTTTGCAAGATTACGCCCCCTTCGCAGAATGACAGAAATAATGGGGCACAATAAGCGATGGGCAAATAGAGTCATCGAGAAGAACGCCCTTATCGCCTGCCTGTAATGTGATCGATAGAGCAGTTAATGTGTTTAACGGGCAGTTAAACGGCCCTAAGAGAATTTTGTATAAACGCGTAAATATCGAGGCTATACGGTAGATGGACGAAAACTTCTCAGTCAAGCCCTTATTTATTGTTTTTTTTTGTTTTGTTTTTGCTTGAAGTGACGAAAAGCAATACATTTTTTGCTGATAATTTCTGGACATTTCCATTTAATTTTCTGAATTTGCTTTATTTTTGCCAGCGCTTCGAGAAGTTAATGACGATCTAGCGCTCACTAATGACGTATAGACCTAAGACTGTAAAAAGATAGCAATTTGAAACCTTGGCGTTTGGGAATATAAAAGTAGTTACCGAACTATACAACATTTAACTTTGTTTCGATCCTACTAGACAAAGTTGGGGGTACAGCGAGTAAAAAATCATTTTGCAATTTTGCACCGGTCTTTCAAGGCCTTTATTTTTCCACAAAGTCGAATTTAAACTAATTACATGAATTTTTGCTGCAAAAAATAATTTAAAAATTTCGCATAGTTAGATGTCGAACTTTTAAAATTTTAATAAAAAACACTATACAATGTTTTTCATCACCAAAACACCGCCTCTCCAACAATATATATGTATATGCATGTATGTATATGCGAATATTGCTTATAAATAACTGCGCAAATTTTTAAAAATTACCGCTACACGTACATACATTACAAACATTCTATAAACATTTACTTGCTAAAGCTTACTAAGTTTCAAAAAAAAACCCAACTCGGCCTTTAGCTGTTCAGTTGCTTATGGCCTTAGGTATTTTTTAGCTACGAAACTAACAATTAGGCACCGCTTGAATATTTTCCTTAATCGTTCACTTAACCACGCACTACTACACTTAGGGCCGTTTACACCATCTCTGGTTAATAGCGCAGTTATGCATACTTGGCGTTGCATGACTTATGTATCTCCAGTTAAACATCCTAACCGACGTTACTGACTCCATACATATAAGATTGTGTCGAGAACGTCGGTAACGAGGTTTAACTGGAGATTTTAGTGTTAACCAGAGATGGTGAAAACGGCCCTAATAGGTCTACATTTTTTAAATTTACAACTAATTTCAAATTGCTAGTATATGCGATTATATGTAAATGTTATGCGTAAGTACTAAATTTTATATGCGAATGCATCAAAACTGCTGCATTTTCTTCTCACTTTCGCTTTGTATGAGAATCCCTTTTCATTGCACTTTTTGCGGCGCATTTCATTTCTCCAACCAACCTTTGTCGTAATCCCTCAACGGCCGTCTGCACCTCGAAGACCTTGTATTTTACCCTTGACAGCTTCGCAAA